CAATGCGATATCTAAAATAACCACGTTAACTTTGCAAATGTATTGTGGGTTGTATTTTCAATTCCGTCAAACTCATTCTGCTTCTGGTTTGCAAGTCGTTGAGTCCAGAGAGATTCCTGCAATTTATTTTCACGGTACACTTTCAAATGTTCATTTCTATTTTAGAAAGAAACCTGAAACATAATTTCAAATTTGATGTACTTAATCTTAAATAAAGTGTTCAGAATATCTATTAAAATTTTATTTCATCCTGCAATGGGTTATAGCACCGTGGGTTATATCAAACAGTCTAGTTATTGCTCAGTTTACTTAACCAAAACTAACAAGTAAAACACTATATTACTATTGAATATTGGATAAAACACTTTCTGCCCATATTTAATTTTTTTTTGAAAATTTGAGAAATTTGAAATGTAGTTTTAAAGTTGTCAAGTAGATGACGCTAGTTACCGGACGATTTTTTTTAGGTTAGTAGAATTCATCGTATCCATATAAAATCGGCAGTATGTTACAGCCGTATGGAGCGCAGCGGTTGCTGGTTACAATTCTCCCATGAGCGTGATTCCTCTACAGGGTGTTTCACACAACTTTACGAGGCTTGCGCCTAATGTACGCACCCAAATATACAAAAGTCACAAAAAACTCGATACAAAAAATACACATCGAGTTATTTAATTTTTGGAAACCCATGACAGTAGTTGTCAAACTAATCACTGTTCCATTAATATTCATAACCTACAGTTTTTCAGGAACAATTATCATTTGTTCTATCAAGAGACGCCATGAATATGATTCTAGTTTATCTATCTTAATCACTAACTAACTATAGTTATATAGTTAAGTTTTCACTTATAGTTATGTCTTATAAAAAAAAAAAGATTGTGATAGGCCGAATCATTTTTTATGAAGAACAACGATAAATTAAAAAACAAAAACGATCTCTTCAATGATTTTTTTCATAGTTGCCCCACTAAAAAAACTATTTGTTTTAGACTTTTTGCGAGCATTTGTTTAAAAGTAATAATTTTTTTGTATACCTACGCTCTCGAAACAAGATGAGTCTTTGCTGGACCCAATAACATAATATGAAAAATGGTTATATTAGGTACTCAATACCCAAAACACAGTTTTTCAGAACGGATAAATCAATTTAGTTACTATGGTGGCGAAATTTGTTGAAATATCCGCATTTGAATTCGAATTTAGCGCCACTTCCTGGGGTGGAAGTAGATGTCACCCTAGCGGTAGAAAAAGAAAGGAAGCGGGGGTGAAACGAACCAACGCTCTCTTGCAAAAAAAACAAGTGACCGAATCCAGACGTGCCGTGTCTCTCCCATTTGTTTTTGAAAGTTTCCTTTTGTTTGTTTGAATGTTTTGTTGTTGTTTTAACTTAAAATCAAAGCTCCTGTAAAACCCCTCCGTTTTGTCAAACAATTAAAACACCGATTACATGGAAAAACACCTGGTGTGACGATCAGCTTTCCACGAGTGTGAACCGCGTTTTTGGGAAAGTCGTGCTATT